CACGTAAGCTGCAGGCAAGAGCTGAGCTTTCTATGGAAATTTTATACAGTGACAATCAAAATCCTGAAGCATTTCCTGGAAGAACTGAAGTAGATGCAACAGGACTTTTACAATACGACCTTAAAGACAGAGCACTCTCAAAGCAATGGCTACAACAAGAGGTGCAAGCTGACTCAGTCAAAGCAAAAGCAGACTCGTCATGAGCAAGGTCATCATAGTAAAGAGTTTTTGAGATTCTCAAGGCATTTTGCTCGTTGACTTTCTGAAGGGCCAAAGACTGATTACACCTGTTTATTGTGGGAGTGCTCTGAGAAAATTAGCCAAAACTTTAGCAAAAAGCAAAACCAAAAAACAACCAGGAAAGCTTCACTAGAGTCCTTCTCCATTGTTTCATTCCTCTCATGAAACAAGGGCAATTATGCAAGAATTTTTATGGGAAATCATTCCAACTTACAATCCTCACTTGGCTCCTCCTGACTTCTTATTCTTTCCTAATCTTAAAAAATCTTTAATGGGCACCCATTTTAATATTGTAAAAGACTGTATTGAGATGTTTAAATTCTCGGCATTCTCAGTTCTTTAGGGATGGACTAAAAGGCTGGAGTCATTGTTTACAAAGTGTATTCAACTTGATGGAGCTATGCTGAGATAACTTTTTTCTAATCCTTATCTTTAAATTCCATTTTACATGAACTTTTGAAGACCCTTGTATGACAAGTTTTTGTTTTTAAGTCACATACAATAACCAACAGGCGGTGAATATATTTGCTTCAGTGGTTCTTCTAGCTAGTAGACTGGCCACCAGAGGGTATCTTTTCTCCTACTTCAATAAAATGAAAAGTGTCAAGAAAGGTACAAGAAAAAATACTGATACATAACATCACCCTAGATGAATTTCTGAGGTATTATGAAGTGTCAAAGAAGCCAGTTTCACAAAACTACATATTGACAAAAGATTCTATTTATGACATTCTACAAAACTACGGAGAAAACATCTGGGGTTGTGGGTGGGAGGAGAGGTGACTATAGCAGCGGTTCTCAACCTGTGCATCGTGGCAGGGGTCGCCTGATTCATAACAGTAGCAAAATTAGTTATGAAGTAGCAATGAAAATAAAACTGAAAATGTTAAAGGCATGTGCTGTCAAAGATAAGATTATGAGGTAATGGAAGCCAAGGCAGAAGCACAGTTAAAGTATTAAGAAACAGCATCCCCTAAAATGAACTAATACCAAGGGCTCAAGTAGAAAGAAATCTTTTGAAGAGGATGATGGCAACAAATGTACAAATGTGTATGACACAATGGATGGATGCATGGATTGTGATAAGAGCAGATTGAGCCCCCAGTAAAATAATTAAAAAAGGAACCGTATCCCCTTAAATTCCCTGCATTCCACAGAAATCTGAAGGATTCTTCCCTAGAAAAACTGAACAGCCGCAGAGCAAAGGCCTCCAAACAAAGGAATGGTTCCCTGAAAGCACTCCAAGGCTCAGCTTTTCTAAGAGCGTGTTCTACCTGCAAACATTACCCTCTCAACTAATTCTGTTTAGGCATTTTCTTGTGAACTGGGTAACCACTGGGAACATCGTGTCAGTAGAGCTAACAATATGCCAAGCACCACCTATGAACACAGAGCTTTTAATAAGTCTTGGTGTCTACTAATATATGATAGATGGCTAAGACTAGCCAGAAATAGAGGGAAATCACCTAAATAAATAAGAGTGAAAAACAAAACTTAAAACAGCAACAACAAAAATCCTGATCCTGACAAAGTAGGAAATAAAATTAAATATATATACACCCATTTATATATTCTCAGAAAAGATAACTATAAACTAAGAATCTGTCATATGCAGTCTAGAAATGAAAGTAGTCTTTTTTTAAGTAGTCTTAGAAATTAAAAACTTTAACTTAAAATTCTATTTATAGTCAAGTTATCAGTAAATATAGGTTGAAATAAAGGCATTTTAAATATGTAAAGACTCAGGAAATTCACCTCCCACTACCACCACTTCTTAGGAAGCTGTGTCTCAGGAGGTGCTTCAAGTAAACAAGAGAGTAAATTAGAAGCAGAGCCAACAAGGAGGGTGACAAACAGAAGCCATGGAATAATGGCTGCGCAGTAGGCCAGGCAAACAGCCAGTACAGACTGTCATAGAAGACAACTGCAGAATAGATGTTAGTCAAAATGGAATCAGCCTATCTGGTATTTAAGGACAAAAACTTTTCATAACTAGTCAAGGGAAGGGAATATGGTAGCCCTCAAAGAGAAATTAATGAAATTATAAGGTTGGTTTACAGAAAGTTATATTCAGTACTAGCAGGAACAATAAAACAAAATATCATACATACAAAACATACACTGTCTATTTTATGTACAAATAAGGTCAACATGGTCTGATTTGGTTTTAGACACAGTATTTATTTTGAAGTTTCAAATGATATGAAAGGAAATGTGTTTTTATGTTTAAAGAATGGGATATAGATTAAAAAGACTTTAAATACTTTACTAGATGATCCAAACTCTGCAACAGATATTTGTGCATCAAAATTCTTGCAACAGCAGCACTGATAGCATCCCTAGATCTTCCATCCCTCCTCCACATAGCCATGTTCACAAAAACAAAACTTTACAGCGTAAAAAACAAAGAAGTATCAATTAACTCTAAGGCAATGTTTTCTATGAAATAACAGGCTGAACAACATCCATTAGCTCTACTCGCCTGGCTGCTTCTTTTTCTTAGAACTGCCATTTCCTGTGTGCCCCATTTCATCATCTCTGCCTCTACCAACTTTTTTCCCTACCAGTTTTTCATTTTCTACATAACAGGTATTTCCCTTGGTCTACTATCAAGCTTAACTAGGTTGTCTGTAACTCACAAGGCAATCTGGCCACTCCCTGACAAGAAAAGGTGCTTCTCAGTAAAACATAGAAATCTTGTGGATAATGTTATGAGAGGTTTAATAAGTACAAATACAAGAATTAATTTAACAATGAATGGCATTTCAAGAACTCTACACATGGAAATGTTAAAAACCTGGACTCATCGAACATGGATTGAAATTTAATGCCAATTATCAAGAACACTTGGGTTGTTACTTTAGC